GCTTTTATTAAATTGTAATCACGTTAAATACAAATTCAGTCCCATTAAAAATATTTTATTAGCCTACATGACACCCATAACTGGTTCTTGCCTAAAAAGACGGGTTTATGATGTTTGTAGTTAATAGATTTGGCTGCTTTTAGCCTTAGCCTGGACTCGGTTCACCCTCCGCCTATACCTTGCTAGACATATTTGTGCATCCATTTCCAAATTCACCTGGTTCACCTTTCCACTGAAAGTACAGTAAAAATACGGTAGTGTTCCTATGGCGCCTTCACAATCCCATGATGTTCTTTCAAATTCCATGTAAATGTTATCATATGTAAATATGGTCGTCTTTTAGTACCATGCCATGTGATACCATCACTTTACTATAGTAGCACACAGTGCTTCTTTGCGAGGCTAGCGTTCCCATCAGACCATTACATTTTACTGGAATATGCTCGCTTGGGCTTTTTCTGAAATGGCATCCACAAACTGTGCATATACTCTGCCTTTTAATGGTCTTGGGAAAAAGCTGCTTAGTCTTAGAGATTTGGAGGTGGGGTTTTGGGGTGGCGACTCTCCAAGACAATTGACAATAGCCTGTATAGCCTCTTCTGCTTGAGTGACTTAATGGCTGCTGTCCTATTGTATTGTTTCGAGGTCAGATCCAGGACACCTGCTGCGAGCAACGGCAACCGAAAAACAATGATCGTAATGGCCAGTTCCAGTTTGGTGACATCTGAGGGTTGTGTTTTCAAGTCATTAGTTCTGTTAGCACCGTCAACCTCTCCAAACCCATGTTTTTTTAACTGCAGCGTGTCTTTAATCAGAGCTTGTAGGGAGAGAATCTATGTGGATCGCAGGTAGGGGTGTAAATATTTGGCAAACTAAAAATGATCTGATGAAAATGGAATGCATTTTTAAAATTAATAATTAAATATATTTTCAAATATTTGATTTGAATAGGGCTGATTGCTCATTTGTGACCTTTAGATGATATTATTTTCCCATAATTTCCAAACTGAATTTAAAATGTGAAGTAAAATACTGTACATTTTTTCACAATTCAGTATAGTATATAGTATAGCTATATTTACCTACATATATTTTTACTAAAACATCTTAATATTTAAAACATGCCAGACAGTGACTTCTGTGAACATTAATGAATAATGATGCATTTGAATCTTTAGGTTGATTTGAATTGTTATGAATTGATTCATTTAAACAGACAGATTAATGGCAATGATTCAAACTTCTATAGAGAAAAAAAAAACATTCTTTAGGAAACATAATGGTGAAATAAAGGGCATTAAAATCACAACAGATTAATGATGTTGCTTAATTTTATACTAACCATTCCGAAGTTTGAGGTCAGTAAAAAATTTTAATGTTTTTGAAAAAAGTATCTTATGTTTACTGAGGCTGAGAAAAAAAATACAATAATATTGTTAAATATTATTACAATTTTAAATAATTATTTTTGTATTTTAATATATTTTAAAGTGTTTTTTTTCCTGTGATGTAAAGCTAAGTTCTATGTTACATGATCACTCTAATATGTTGATGTGCTGCTTGCAAAACTTTTAATATTATCAATGTTGAAAATGTATTTGGAATAAATAGCTTTTGTAAAAATGTCTTTACTTTCAATTTTGATCAATTAAATGAATCCTTGCTAAATGAAAAAAAAACAACTTACTGACCTCAGACTTTTGAATTATAGTATATATCTCGAAAATATAGGAAATATTTAATATATCAACACAGCCCTAATCATGAATCAGACCAAAATAACTGAATCAAATTAAACTTTAAAATGATTAAATTGAATCATTAAAATGATTGAATTGGATCATCAGAGCAAATATTTACACTCCTGCTCTCAAGGTCAAATGGCACAGTAGTGTTTTGTGTATGTGTGTGTGTGTGTGTGTGTGTGTGTGCAGCAGAACTACTCATGATCTGACAGCACAGAGAGACAGCGGGAGGAATTAACAATAATAGTGTGTGTGTGTGTGTGTGTGTGTGTGTGTGTGTGTGACCCATTTTATCCAGCGCACCTACAGGCAGACTTCACAGCGTGTGCTTTGCTGGACGCGGCTCGGGCTGTGCGTTTCTAGTGTGGTTATTACCAGGAACACCTTAAACACTGTGTGACACTTACACAAACAAAGCCTACTGTTCGTTTGAATATTTCTCTCTCTACATCCATCCTGGTTTCTTTATTTAACAACCATTTGGTTTCACCCTTCACACACACACACACACGCGCGCTGAGCCTTTCTTCATGGCCAAAGCCAGCACTGTTACTATAGAGATGCTGCCCACATGATGGTACGGACTTTGACAGCACGACTTCTCTATAATAAGCCTCTCTCGCTCTTCTCCATATCAGCACAATTCGGCCGCATTCAAACGACAGCTGACAGTGTTACTATGGTGACCCACAAACATCCGCTTAGTAAAAATGTACTTGTAATATACTATACTGGTACTACATTTGTATTTGAATAGCGTGAGGTAATGCCTGTTTTTGAATGATAAAACACTTTACAAATAAAGGGTTGCTATTTTAGTTTCTGTTACAGTCTTATAAGAATGTTGTAACAGTCAAGTAAAATTGCTGTGCATATACTGAAATTTCTATTTCTCAGAATTTTAGTTTATCTAGTAGGATATTTTTTGTTCCTTATTTAAAATTTGTTATTAGGCATTTTATAGTAGCATGGGTGGATTACTAAGATTTTATTTTATTTATTTATTTTTTTGGTTTTTTGTTTTGTTTATGAATGTTTGACAAAAAATACTGACCTCAGACTTGTGAATGGTAATATATACCTCAAAAGTGGGAAATATTAATGTCAACCAGCCCTAATCATGATTCGGACCAAAATAACAGAATCAAATGACACTTTAAAATTGAACTGAACCATTGTCAGAGTTAATATATATACAACACTCTACGGACACCTTGGCAATTGAATCGCCATTGGCTAGTCAATTTTTTTGTTTACTCGCCAAACTGAAATACTATACTATACTAGACTATATATATATATATATAAGTTATGCCATTTTACAAACATATATAATGTTTGTAAAATGGTACATATATGCGAGTGATTTAATCGCAATGTAGAGGGTTGATATATATACAGTATATATATATATATATATGTATGTTGGCTATATTTGGCTGAGATACAACTATTTGAAAATCTGGAATCTGAGGGTGCAAAAAAAAAAAGAAAATATTGAGAAAATCGCCTTTAAAGTTGTCCAAATTAAGTTCTTAGCAATGCATATTACTAATCAAAAATTTAGTTTTGATATATTTACTGTAGGAAATTTACAAAATATCTTCATGGAACATGATCTTTACTTAATATCCTAATGATTTTTGGCTTAAAAGAAAAATCGATAATTTTGACCCATACAATTGTATTGTTGGCTATTGCTACAAATATACCCATGCTACTTATGGCTGGTTTTGTGGTCCAGGGTCATATACAGTGGGTACGGAAAGTATTCAGACCCCCTTAAATTTTTCACTCTTTGTTATATTGCAGCCATTTGCTAAAATCATTTAAGTTAATTTTTTTTCATTTGCAAAAACAGATAACATGTTTTTTATTGTTATCATATTTTCATTGTTTTATTGTGTTAGTTAGCTGTATTTTTTTTTGTTCTTTTTACTTTACTTTTACCAATTGCAGTTTGATTGAGTTTAATTAGAATGCACAATGAAAAACATGATTTTTGAAAATAGTTCAAAGTTATCTGTTTTTGCAAATGAACACTTCATATATACTGTATATATATGAAGATATTGACTGATATTGACATGCTAAAGATTTCTGCTTTATTGATAATTGCATGTTAGCTTCTTGTACAAATCTTTAAAATCATCTTTTAGAAGTCTTAATGCTTTATATTTTTTATGGAGTTTTTTGTGAATTTTAAGTCATACATAAAATAAGTGCTTGTTTAACTAGCTAGTCTAACTAGCTAGATTAAAATCTGTTTTTTTTTCTTTATTTTTGGCTCTTTGGAGAGTATGACCTGAATGTGCTCCAAACAACTACATTAACACACAAGTAACATGTTGCATCAGCATTAATGCAAGAAGCACTATGGCACAGATTAGGATAAACGAATGCCATCTGTGGTTAGTTTTCTCTTTCAGTAGAGCTAATGTCATAACGGAGCTCCAGTTTAAAGATATTCTTGCTGAGAAAGTTAGTTAAATGATATACAGACAGAGGTTTGTTGTAACTCAATAAAGCATGTGTATTATGTAGAACGGATCAGCGTGCTTGCAGTGCCTTGGCCAATGTTCATGTTTTGTGTACTTAAGTAGGCTTTTGGCCTTAAAGTCTTTGTTAACTGGCTGAACTTGGCGCAACTCTCACACGGGCCGAAAAATGCTTCTTACAAAAACACAGTCCATTCCTACATCACTCGTTGCCATGGTTGCAGAATACTCCCCATACCAGAGAATTCCTGCCCGGAGGTCTCATGGATTCTTTGCGTTTGTTTACTGAAGTCTGCAGTTCAGCTCTACATGAGACTGACCTCGTAAAGCACAGGGCATTTTTACATCATTACAGGAGTTCATTTACATGTTAATTAAAGACAAACTCTTAAAATCTTTCATGCACTGCTTTTATTTCTCTCGCTGGCCAGACAAAACATATAAATGTCAGGATAGTTAAATTATTGTGGTACTAAAATCCAGTTTTAAACACCAAAAGGTAGCTTGAGGGGAATAAAACTGTATTGAAAAACTAAATATGAGTAAAACAAGTGTCCACTAGTTGCACATTGAGTTGATGCAATATGTCTTCCCATATAAGCCATCCTCACTGTTCTTGCTGTAATCATGCTGGCCCATTCATGCATTTTCATAATCCACAGTGTTTAGGTTATGGCAGCTTCTTGTGTGTTTGAGATTATAGTGCAGACTCATGGCTGACATTTAAATGGCCTTTATTCTCCTTTTCTGTGTCAAGTGTCAGGACCCCAGTGGGTTCGGAAATGCGCCATGTTTGTGAGAACGATGAGCCTGGCAGACATGTCCGGTAAGTGCCGCTCCGCAGCCAAACGCACTTCACGCACAGGATGGGATCAACTCTGACTCCATTTATACAGTTATGAACTGAGCGAGAGGAACAGTAAACTGATAAAACGCTGCATTAAGATGATTCAGATGCATTTGGCGAATTGCAGGGTTTGAACCCATCCTCTTAACTGTGCATGTCGCTTTCACCTTCTTGGGTCTCATTCACTCGTAATTGTGAATTTTTACCGTCATTTGTTGATCAATCCAGATTATTCTATTATTCGCGTCTTCATAAAGTTATTAGCATAATATACACCCATGTCCATATAAGGGCTTTCGTACAACCTCTCCTATATTTGTCAGTCTCTGCATGTACTTTTTTTCCATTTCGTATCCAATTTCAAAACTAGTTGAAATGCAAAATACTTTTTTTTTTTTTTTTATATAGTCCTAGACAACATTATCGGCTGCATTAAAGCAGAACTCATTCTGACTTGAACTGTTCTAACATTTGTTGCTTTGAAATTAGACTTAGTAGGGTCATTTAGTTAACTTAGTTATAATATAATAAAAGTGATTCTACAATAAGTCTAATTGAACTTAGTTTCATATATTCTATGTCAACTAAGTGATCCTACATCAGTGCTGATAGCCCTGTGGACAGCGCACCGACATTTAGCACCATTGCGCTACGGGCTTCCTGAGTTCGAATCCCCACTGGAGGACCTTTCTCGATCCTGCCCCTATCTCTCTCTGCCACTTCAATTCCTGTCAGTTCTGATCTGTCCTATCGTAATAAAAGGCGAAAATGCCAAAAATAAACCTTAAAAAAATAAGTAAGTGACCCTACAATAAGTTTATTTTCAAAGCTACAAAAGTTCTGTAATGTAATGAGTTTTATTGTGAATTTCAAATAAATATAAGTGATAAATTTAACTGTTATTAAACACTGGTTATATTAAAGACATGTTTGTGAATGAGACCCGTGTCTTTTGTTTGTGTGCATGTTCCTGCTCTGTGTCCCTTTTTTGCCTTTCCTTCTGTATCTTACTTCAAATGTCTGACTGAGTTGGAAGAGCCCTTGTTTGTGAGTTGTCTGTGCGTATCTTCTGGAAAGCAGGTGAAAAGACAGGTAAACTGTGCATAGCGTCAACAGGACATTGATTATTGGATGACCGGAATGGGCTTTTAGTAGTCAGGACTTTGAGTTCTGATGTATGAAAATCCAGGGTCAGATTGGATGCTCGGAAGTTGTGGCCTAAACCATTTATTTTAGATGGAGGGATAAGGATATAGTGATCTAATTTTTAAAGTCTCAATGAAATCAAAACTGACCCAATTTACTTTCTTAATGCATATTGTGTCTTATTGACTTTGTGATCCTTCTTATTTTGTAACTCCTCTTCTTCAACCTATTGGTCCCATTCAGATATATAGCACCAATTTTTTTTATCCTGTTTCGCTCAGAAATATGACAGATTACAGAGAACTGCAAACAGATGCCTGCTAGATTGACGCTGAAGATTTTTCATCTTAAGTCATTCAGCCAACAGTTTAAACAAAGGATGCACGATTTGGGGAGGAAATCTAGTTTTTCTGATAAAAATTGTGATTTAAAATGCGATTGAAAAAAATCCAGGTTTGCTGTGTTTGTTAATACGGCTGCACAATATGGCCAAAATCTTGTGATTTATACCTCTATATGGTTATAATACAACAACAGCAATAATAATAATTATTAAATAAAAACAAAATAAGAACATTTTCAGTGTAAATTAAAAAAAAAGTAATTAAGAGATATAATATAGTAATATTTATTTTACATTACAACTGTAAAAATTACAATATTTAATATCTTCACTTTTGAATGTTAAACTTTTATATTGAATTACAGCCTTTTAGATGAGCACTCTAAGCCATATCGCAATTTTGGTTATATTTTGATCAATGGTGCAGCCCTAGTTTAAACTGGGATGTATTTATATTTCTTTATTGAACTATCAGGACATACCTAAATAAGAGAGCCTGAACATCCCTAACCAAAAACGAGTGGAGAGAACGGCACAAAAGCTCTGTCATACGAGCAGCCCTTCTCTTCCTGCGAACAGCTGAGGAGTTACAGAGGCCTGGCGTTAACCCAGTGTTCAGATCGCCACATCAAATATTCAACAGGTGCCTCTGAACGTGAGCTTTTTGTGTGTCTGAGACGGTAAGAAAGGCAAGATAGATGAGTGTGTGACGAGAGAGTTCATTTTATTTTTGCTTATGGAAATCTCCAAGGAAAGCCCACCCATCTGCACGTATCTGTGGAGGGTCCGACCGCAGGAGAACGAACGCGGACGCATCTGAATCGGTGAAGCGATGACGTAGAGAGGTGATGACAACTAAAGTGTGGCTAGTACTCGACCTTGTTGACCTCCGTAGTTCTGCCTCACGGAATCAACAACAGAAGAAATGTTCAAGAGGAAGAGAATGCTCAAGGTATGAAGCAATCTGAGAGCAAGGAAGATTCAGTGTTTGAATGTGGAAATATTTACCTAGTTGGCTTATGGTTTAATTGGTTGGCTGGGTAATGCATTATAAATTTTAGTGCTTTTATGTTTTTAACATGTACGATTTTAATCAGCTGTCGAGAGCAGTCTTCTGTGTGTTGTGTTCAACAGCGTCTGTCAGAGAAACATAAACCAGTCATGGAGAACATGTATGAGGTTACCACAAGAGAAACGGCATGGATTGGCCAGTTTGGTAGACTAGTGCAAGTTATGCCTACTTTATCGTACAGCAGAGAAGTGATGTTCTAGATGGACGTGGTTGATTAGCATGTTTCCATCCCAGATTTATCTCAGGTGAACCCGTATGCCAGCCGCCAGGTGTGTTGTTTGCTGTAAATCCTACAGCGGGTCCGCCAGGTGCGTGTTTGCATAACATCACTGCGGCCTTGGTTAAAACCAGCTGCGTTTACCGTCGCTACACGCAGTAATACCCGCAGCGTTGTATGAGGAACACTTGAAGGTTGAAATGTAGTCTTTATTGTGGGTTGAATAAAAGCTTGCTGCCTCTTTGGAGATCCAGGCGTGTTTTGTTCGGCACCGTTTCACAGCTGGACGGACAAGTCTCGTGATTTCAGCACACAATATGCAATGAAACTTGGACCAGTGTATTGATTTGAATTAGCATTCAGCATAGATATTTATCAGTTTGTCTTTGAGTAAGTAATATTTTGATGTTCTTTTAATTAGTTTCAGGGTTTTTTTAAGCATATTATGCTATATAGACTATCGTTCAAAAATCTGTGGTCGGTAAGATTTTAACAAATATTTATAAAACAAGTGTCGTGCTCATCAAGGCTCCATTAATTTGATCAAAAAATACTGTAAAACAAATAATATTATTACAATTTCAAATAGCAGTTTTCTATTTTTATGTAGTTTAAAATATAATTTATTCCTGTGACGCAAAGCTGAATTTTCAGCATCCTTACTCCAGTCTTCAGTGTCACATGATCTTTTAGAATTCATTCTTATATGTTGATTTGGTGCTCAAGAAACATTTATTATTATTATCAATGTTGAAAACAGTTGTGCTGCTTAATATTTTTGTGGAAACTGTGATACATTGTTTTTTTCCAGAATTCTTTGAATAGACAGATCTAAAGAGCAGATTTTCTAAAATACAAATCTTTTGTAACATTATAAATGTCTTCACTGTCTCTTTTGATCAATTTAACATGTCCTAGCTGAATGAAAATATTATTTCAAATCTTACTGACTCCAAACGCTTCAACTGTACTGGACTTCTATATTTCTTTGAATGTCAAACCAGACCTTTCAAGACAGCTTAAAATGGCATATTTAGCTTCTGTGATGTGGTGTATTTCTGAGTGAAACACAATATTCAGAAGGGAATACTTAAGCAAGCATGACTATTACTGTTGCTTTTCCTCATGGTTAGGGATTTGACAAACCCTGAGCCATATCTAGAGACCAAAATATCGTAGAGACTTGGGCCAATAAGCAGCCATCCAAAACACCCTAGCAACCGCATAGCAACTTCTTTTGCAGCAAGCATTATTCATATTTTCCTTCTGTATATATGTTCTAAATGTTGTTGGTTATTATCATATTTCCCCATCCTTGATGTCAGCAGAAAGTAATTTCAGTTGTAGAAATGCATTTATATTTTTATGAAAGATTGCTGAATCATATTCAGTAAGACCAGGGGACATTAAGAATGTAAATGGGGTCTGTTTTTATTTATATTAAGGTAATGGAACAAAAATAGTTTTGACAGTAAATGTTGTCAGTTTTTAAGAAAGATACAGGATAGTGTCTAAAAATGCTGCTTTTGCTGCAGGAATGTTGACTACCTCAATAACCCTTGTGTCAGTCAGGGACAGAGACAGAACGCTGCCTAATAATGACTGGCAAACAATCAGTGTGACTCCAGTTAATATCTTCAGACATGCCTGTGCACTACGGTGTAAGTGTGCAATATATTTCCACTGATTTATAGGCGAGACATTGGCAGGCAGCTCTTCTCACTGTCACTGATTTGGCCGACATCTCTCCTCTGAGATCTCAGCTGATCTTCAAGCCGTGTGTTGTGAGGGCCGAGATTTCATCGGATTGAGGAATGTGTGCTCAATTCAAAGCCAAATGGAGAAGGTGGGGTTCTGGAAGCAGGTTGGGTCAGAAGAATGCTTTTTGTTTTCTTTTTAACTTATCAGGGGCAGGGCTGTTATATTTTTGAAAATGTTTCTTTTTTATATTACTTTCAATTTCAGTTTCATGTAGTTTCAATTATTCCTAAATAGTATTATAATTGTAAAATTATAAATTGTAATTTTTTTTTTTTTATCTTTATTTTTAGTAATTTAGTAGTTGTTTCTAGATTTACTTTCTCAATTTTTTATTTTATATATATTTAATTATATTTTATTTTGTGTGTGTGTGTGTGTATATATAGTAAATGGCCAGTTAAAGTTTTTGTTTTGGATTGTATTTTTACAGTTTAGTTTCAGTTTTTCCTGTTCATTTAATAGTTTTTATTTTGTTTGCATTTTTGGAAACCACCTAGGTTTTGTCTGGTTTTTATTGCATTGTCAGTATTAAAAATAAAATAATAAAATACTATGCATATTTTATTATACAAGATCATTTTCTCAGTACAGTTTCTGTGTGTTTTTGTTTATGTTTTAGTGCATGTTTATAGCTTTAGATTACTTAATTTTTACTTATTCTTTTTAGTGCTAGATTTCTTCTTCCTAGTTTTTGTAACGGTTTTCATTATCAATAATAACTCTGATCAGGAACTGTGAGGCTTGTGGTCAGGTAGAGGTTGACGGAAGTGATTTTACCTTTTGAGGCCAGTCTGTCAGTGTTTTCAGCTTTGCTTCCTTGTCTCCTCTAAGAGTTGCAGCATGCAAATCCAAACACAATATTTGTTTACACGGCACCAGTGCTTTTGCTTGGCATTCTGCTTAGTTATAGAAGTAAGCACACATACTGAGGGGTTTATGGTTATCATTGAGATTATATAGGAACGCACTAAGTTCACACACATCTGCTTGCTTAACAGTACAGTATAGGTTTAATCCTTGTTAAATATGCTTATGCACTACTGACCATTTCTAAAGGTTTCTTGTCCAGGGGAGAGCAGCTAGCAATAAAGGTAAGTTTGACAGAAGTGTCCGACACCTCCTTTCTCCCATACTGCCACACGCACAGTGCTTCAATCAATCTGATCATCGCCTCTAAAATGATTGGCTTATCAATGCGCTGGCCTTTCCTAATTTGCCATCCCTTTGCGGGAGAAAACAAGGATTGCTTTGGGTAAAGCAGCAGGCAGATCCAGTCTTGTCATCCCCTCATTCCAGTGTTTAAACTCATCCGTGATTGTTTGGTGTTGTGCAAACCTAAAGGAGGACTGCAGAGATCTGTGCTTCCCCCGAGGGGTTCGGGGAAGTGCTGTCTCGCAACCAAATGCTCCCGTGGCAGTGTTTCCATCGAAACTGCCTGTCAGGTGGATGAAACTCAAACAGTCATCATGACAGGTCCGCTGTTATCAGAACTAATCTGCATGACTGAGCCATAATTCACCGGGGCTTTTATTCATCAAGGACAAGAATAAAAAGATGTAATGAGGGAGGAAACATCCGGTGTGTACGCAGCTCTTGCTCTAAGGCCCAGAGCGCTGTTTTGTAATGCCGGAACTCTAAAACCGAGTGACTGCTCTGAACTTTTTAGAGCTGTACGTCACGTCATATTTTCTAAGAACATCAGCTGTAAGCTTGAGGCAAAGACAGTAAAATGAAAGTCTGTTGAAAACTACATTTTGCCGTTTATTGGAAAATCAGTTGGCATAAAATTAGATTTTGCAACAGATATTTTAAATGAAATAATTTTTGATAAAATGATTGTTGCTGAAGTTTTGGCCTTTTTTTATTTTGTTCTTTTTATAATCTAAAGTGCCTTTTATTATTTGTTTATGTTTCTGTAGGTAAATACTACTACTAATAATCTAAATTATCTCTATACATCTCAAAAAATCTCTCTACATATATTTTACATATCTGAATACATATATTTGGATTTTATTTTTATTTATTTTAGATATTTATAAATATAAAAATGCTATTTCTGAAGTGTATACACAGCATTAATAATTAAAATGTAGGTTACACTGTTTTGATAGCCCACTAACTAGAAGTAACTTTGCAACTACATGTCAAGTAATTCTCATTAATTTGCAACTAAATGTCTACTAACTCTTGACTGTTACGTTAGGTTTAGGGTTAGAAAATAAGTTGACATATACTTGCAAAGTTTCTCATAGTAGAATGTCTAAAGTGGACTATCAAAATGAAGTGTTACCAAAATTTATTATTAGAAGATTCATATTTTGATGCTCTTATCGCTTGCTGTGCACCGCTGTCAATCACAAATCTCATATCTGATACTACCGTATTGGCCCAAATATAAGACGACCCTGATTATAAGACGACCCCCCCCCCCTTTTCACCGCGTTTTTTCAGATGTATTTCCAAGAAAAAAATATTGTCTTATATTCGGGACAATACGGTAATTTTGCATAGAGGTTTAAAAATGGCCACTTGGATCACACGCCAGTGGTCAAAGTGTGAAGTTTGATGTAAACGCTTGGCTTTTATTCTAAATGAGACCAGAGGTCAGAAGACAACTGTCCCGGTCGCTTCACAAGCTGCTTGCTGCTCCCTTAGTAATTTTCTTAGATTGATTTGAACATTAAAATCAAAGTGATCTGCTTGAGACCTTATGAATCTTCAGAGAATCATCTCCGTAATATCACTGCTGATTTATTTTCTCCAAAGTATGTTGATTGTCATTGAATTCAGATGATGCATACTTTAGCTCTTGAAACAGGGATGACTTTGATCTTTGTGTTGTTGAATGAACCCATCAGAACCCATCATAAAAACGGTTTCTTTTATATTCTCATTCCCCGTCCTTCAGGCTCGAAGCACTGATAATCTGGACAGTTCTGGGGAGCCTGCGACCCGATCGGTGGGAACCACAGCCAACTTGAAGGGGAAGATGAGCAAAAGGTGAGAAACTGCATGTCTCTCCATCAGGCTCTATGAAATCTTTTTTTAAACCTAATTCTCTGTATTTTATTTTAATTTTGAATTATGTAACAAAAAAAACTGTAACAATAATAGTGCCCTATGATAGGTTTTCTTTTTTTCAGAAATTGTGTTATCTTTTTTCTGGTTTCTGTTTCTTAAAATTTTTTGACAAACAATATTCTGCACAACAGATGTTTATTATTAAAAGTCTTATTTTAAAATAATGTTTTAATGAGTGAGCTAGAGAGCAGCTCTGGGGATGAAGTTCAAGTCCTCATATAAGATGCCAGACACTGAAAACACCACAAGCGTCACATGTGCTTGAGTTTGTGTAGTAGACATGTATACTTCATATTTCAATAGCAGTCTTTTAGCAGTTTGATTGTGTATAGCATTTTGATTTATTAATCCAAACTTTGCCAAATTCCTTGACATTACACATTACACAGTAAATTCCATATTTATGACTGGGTTCTACGATTCTGTCCTTGTTTTTTCGCATTGGAAATCATAGGGCTCTATTCTAAAGCACCTTTCTTAACTAAGGTTCCCACCTTGCAACCACACCCACTTGAATTGTAACCAGGACCCTCAAACTCAGGTGTGGACCAAGCAATTGAAATGAAGAGTAAAACAGCCTTAAAGGTTTTAGACACAAAAGTGATGGACTATATTTTGGTTTAATAGTTAATGAAGTGAAGGGCTGTGTTACTGTCAGCATTGTAGCTCAGAAACTGAGTTCAGCTTCAGGTTTGTCAAGCTCTGAACACACTGTAAAACAGGAAGAACTGAGTTTCACTTCCCCCTGAAATAACTGATAATGGGATGCAAAGTTTCCCTGTGGTGTCCTTACTGAAAGCTGCCCTAGAGAGCTTCTACATTCGGTGGAACTTGAAAATACAAACTAGAGCTGAAGAAAATGTACATAGTAGTACTGTCCTAGGCAAAACTCAGTGTTAACGTCACGTGTGGGCTGAGAAATAGTCGTACTGCTACTTGCTAGAATGACTAATTTGATTAACCAGATAAGTTAAACATAGTTTTAAACTTTTCTCTATTTGTAACTGATAAACATACAGTATATGATGTGTTAACTCATCATATCATCTATTGATTGTGGTTCCAGGCTTTCTGTTGTGAAAGGTCACTTCCCCAAGCTTGTTGACTGTGCCCACTTTCACTATGAAAATGTGGACTTCGGTTCTATCGAGGTAAGATCTTGTCTTATTAAGCAGAAGTTTGTTAGCTCTCCAGTAAAATGTTATAAAAATTTAAATTGTTTATATTGCCCAGCCCTACAGGTCACATTTGTTTGCAAAATTTGATATTTGCTGGACATTTATGCTCTGTTTTATAATAAATAAATATATAATAATAATAATATATATATATATATATATATATATATATATATTTAATGTATTGATTTGATTTATTTATTCAACTTGTTATTATTTTGATTATTATTCATATTATTATTTTGCCCAAAAGAAGGTGTTTTACATCAGGAGCACAATTATGATACCTAAAAATATTGCCTATGTTGGCATTAATACTTATTTATACCGTATTTAGGAGTAAAAAAGATTATTTACCAGGAATGAAGTAGAACAAGATTTAAAGCTATGACATTAATATTATGTTGCCCTGACCAAATGACCTATAGAAATGTGATTTCATTTTTACATTTTGATGAAAGATAACATGCACTGATCAATTGTGCACAATACGACCAAGGACATCTACTTAAAAAGTATACGTGTTTTTTTTGTGTGTGTTTTAGTCATGTACATGTTCAGTTGTCAATATGCATCATGTCAATATGCATCACAGTTAGAGTTCGACATTTAGGGTTTTTAGTAAAAAAACAAGCAGATATCAGCATACAGCCAGATCATCTCCAGGGATGATACAGACCCTTGCTTTGTGACCTTCAATAACACACACACACACACACACACACACACACATTCAGATTCTGTTTGTGTGCTCTGATAGGGAAGAGGAAACGATAACTTATACTTGATTCACAGATACACTGCAGTATGTCAGAGCTCTTCTCATATAAACCGCCGGCCACAAAGTGCTTTGTTTAAGCTTGTCTAAAATCTGTGATCCATTTAAGAAGGTTTACAGCCATAATGATAGACATTCATTCTCAAAATGTTATTCAGTGTCTCTGTGGCATTGTTTTGTGTGTATATATATATATATATATATTTAATGTATTGATTTGATTTATTTATTCAACTTGTTATTATTTTGATTATTATTCATATTATTATTTTGCCCAAAAGAAGGTGTTTTACATCAGGAGCACAATTATGATACCTAAAAATATTGCCTATGTTGGCATTAATACTTATTTATACCGTATTTAGGAGTAAAAAAGATTATTTACCAGGAATGAAGTAGAACAAGATTTAAAGCTATGACATTAATATTATGTTGCCCTGACCAAATGACCTATAGAAATGTGATTTCATTTTTACATTTTGATGAAAGATAACATGCACTGATCAATTGTGCACAATACGACCAAGGACATCTACTTAAAAAGTATACGTGTTTTTTTTGTGTGTGTTTTAGTCATGTACATGTTCAGTTGTCAATATGCATCATGTCAATATGCATCACAGTTAGAGTTCGACATTTAGGGTTTTTAGTAAAAAAACAAGCAGATATCAGCATACAGCCAGATCATCTCCAGGGATGATACAGACCCTTGCTTTGTGACCTTCAATAACACACACACACACACACACACACACACACATTCAGATTCTGTTTGTGTGCTCTGATAGGGAAGAGGAAACGATAACTTATACTTGATTCACAGATACACTGCAGTATGTCAGAGCTCTTCTCATATAAACCGCCGGCCACAAAGTGCTTTGTTTAAGCTTGTCTAAAATCTGTGATCCATTTAAGAAGGTTTACAGCCATAATGATAGACATTCATTCTCAAAATGTTATTCAGTGTCTCTGTGGCATTGTTTTGTGTGTTTGTGCTGCATTTTGTGTTTATAATAGCAGAGCTCTGTACACACACACACATACACACACTTGAGAGCACCTGGAGCGCACTGACCGCACAACATGACTGGAGTGGGCGTCCATCTCATTAGTGTTTAAACCCCCTGAAGACAAAAATAAAAGACCTTTACATGTTTTTTTTTACTCTGACCCTGTGAAGCAGAAAGGGTCTCTGCAGTTCTTCTGTTCTTTGTGCAATTGCTAATGCAATACAGTATTTTTTGGCCATGTACCATACTAGTACCATGGTTCTTTGAAATGCTATGGTACACTACATGACTATGGTTATACATATTTAAATGCTCTCCAGGGCTACATTTGTTTGATTGTTTACAATTTAAAATGATGTTAAATGTTTTCTGTTTAAATATATATATTTTAGCAGTCATTCTTCAATGTCACATAGTCCTTCAGAAATCATTGTAAGATTGATTTGCTACTGAAGAGACATTTATTAGTATAATCAGTGTTGTAAACAGTTATGCTGATTTATACTTAATGTCTCCTTGCTGAATAAAAGCATTAAAGGGGTCATATGATGCTGCTAAAAAGAACATTATTTTGTGTATTTGGTGTAATGAAATGTGTTTATGCGGTTTAAAGTAAAAAAAAACACATTATTTTCCACATACTGTACATTATTGTTTCTCCTCTATGTCCCGCCTTTCTGAAACGCGTCGATTTTTACAAAACTAATCGGTCTGAAAAGCGAGGTGTGCTCTGATTAGCCAGCTATCCAGTGCGTTGTGATTGACCGAATACCTCAAG